AAATAAATTGTTCTCGAGTTCACCTAGATTTTGTTTGTTTTAAGCTCATTAAAAAATTGTTTGCTAAACTAAACAAATCAAATATGAACATTAATTTTAGCTTGTTATATTCACGAACAAAATAATATTTGTCATGAACATTCGATAATATTTGCTAAAAAATTAAATTTGTTTATGTAATAATAATATATATAATGGTGAGTGTGTGTGTATATATATATGTATAATAGGTGGGTGGAGTGTATAACAATATATATGTGTAATGATGATAGTAGTGTGTGTGAAGTGACGTGTGTTTGTGAGTATATATATATATATGTATGGATGTAAATAAACTGAGAGATAGAGCAGATACTGAAGTTTGGGTGGAATGAGATCACTTATGTCTGTGTGGATATATTTAGTATTATATGTAAGTGTATAATATATAGTATATTTAATTAACAGAGAGAGACCAGCGAGAGAGAGACTCAGGGAAAGAGAGAATATTGTAGTAGTCTTTTACACCATTTATATAGGAACTTGGAAGCTAATTAAGTGGCTACAAAAGTGCCAACAAAGCATTACATATACTATATCAAAGCATCCACATTAATGACACATATGGACTACGTCGTTATTATGTATATAACACTCCCCCTTGGATGCTTTATACAAAGAATGTGTCTCATTAAAACCTTACTATGAAAAAAACCATGTGGGAAAAAAAATCATAGTAAAGGAAAAAGAGTTCTTATATTAATGCACTCCCCCTATTTTGGACTTTATTTGATAATTCCTTGCACCAGTTTGTTGAATGTTGCAGTCGGTAGCGCCTTCGTAAATAAATTTGCAAAATTTTTCATATGATTGAATTTGTTGCACATTAATTTCACCATTTTTCTGAAGATCATGAGTGAAAGAATTTTGGAGATATGTGCTCTGTCCGATTGCCTTTAATATATCCTCCTTTTAATTGAGCTATACAATCTGCATTATCTTCAAATAATATTGTATGAGGTAATATATCATCGGTAATCAAGCCACAATTTTTCCGAATATGGTGAGTCATGGACCTCAACCAAACGCATTCACGATTGGCTTCGTGAATTGTTAAAACCTCAGCATGGTTTGAAGAAGTAGTTGTTATCGTCTACTTAGCAGATCTCCAAGAGATCGCAGTTCCACCACAAGTAAATAAATAGCCAGTTTGCGATTTTGCTTTGTGTGAATTAGAAAAATAACCAGCATCAACATAACCGATTAATTCATTTCGAGATTCACTCGAATAAAATAGACCGAGGTTTTAAGTCCTCTAAAGATAACGAAAAATGTGCTTGATACCATTCCAATGGCGCTTTGTGGGGGATGCGCTAAACCTGGCCAATAGATTTACTAAAAAGATATATCTAGTCTGGTACGATTTTCAAGGTACATTAATGCGCCAATAGCGCTGAGATATGGTACATCGGGGCCAAGTATCTCTTCATTTTCTTCTCTTGGCCTAAATGGATCTTTACTGGGATCAAGGGATCTGACCACCATTGGTGTACTCAGAGAATGAGATTTATCCTATAAAATTACTTTAATACATTTTGGGTATATGTGGACTGATGAATAAATATTCCATTATTCACATGATCCACTTGTAATCCCAGACAATATTTTGTCTTTCCAAAATCTTTGATCTCAAATTCTTTCTTTAGATATTCAACTGCAATTTGGATCTCTTCAGGAGTTCCAATTAAATTGAGATCATCAACATATGTTGCAATAATGACAAAATTTGATCCATTTTTCTTTATAAAGACACATGGGCATATTGGATCATTAGTATAACATTCTTTTATTAAACAGTAACTCAGACGGTTATACCACATTCACCCTAATTGTTTAAGTTCATACAATGACTTTTTAAATTTGATGGAATATGATTCATTTGGGTTTAATTTGTATGCTTTAGGCATATTGAATCCCTCATGAACTTTCATATAAATATCAGTATCCAATGAGCCATAAAGATATGCAGTAACTACGCCTAAAAGACGCATTTCGAGCTTTTCTCGCACTGCTAGGCTCACAAGGTATCTAAATATTATTCCATCAACAACTGGAGAGTATGTTTCATCAAAATCTACTCAAGGTCTTTGTGAGAATCCCTGAGCCACAAGACGGACTTTATATCTCATAATTTTATTATGTTTATTTCTTTTTCGTACAAACACCCATTTGTATCCAACGTGTTTTATACCATCTGGTGTTTGAACAATTGGTCTGCAGACTTCTCTTTTGTTTAATGAGTTAAGCTCTGATTGAATCGCATTTTCTCATTTTGGCCAGTCATTTCTTTGCCAACATTCATGAACCGATTTTGGCTCTAGATTCTCATTTTCTTCCATTATATCAAGTGTTAAACTGTATGCGAAGGCATTATCAATAATTGCTTCTTTACGGTTTCAATATATTTTTGAAGTAACATAGTTAATTGAGTTTTCAATAATCTCATCATGTTCTTCAAGATCGTGCTCTTCTATAGCAATTATTTCAGGGTTGACTTCCTCGTTAGATTGAGGTTTATCAATGTCATTCCTGATATTCTCATTAATTCCTCTTCTCTTTCGGGGATGTTTGTCTTTGGAACCAAATGGTCTACCACGCTTCAAGTGTGTTGCTGATTCATTAGCACTTCCAATTTGTCCATCAGGGACAATTATTTTAGCCAGAGCATTACAACTTGGATATATGATCGAGTGACTTTGTTCGAGTCATTGAATGCATCTGGTAGCTGATTTGCAATATTTTGCAAATGTATAATGCGTTGAACTTCTAGTTCACACTATTTTGTACGATGATCACAAAAATTTAATGGGATTTTCCAATTAACATCCCTTTTCGGTTCATTTTTGTTTCCCCCTAATGTCGGAAAATATGATTCGTCAAAATGACAATCTGCAAATCTTGCAGTAAATAAATTACCCGTCATAGGTTCAAGATATTTTATAATTGACGGCGATTCATATCCGACATAAATGCCCAATCTACGTTGAAGACCCATTTTTGTACGTTTGGGGGGTGAAATAGGAACATAAACAGCACACCCAAAAATACGTAGATGAGATATATTTGGTTCGTGACCAAATACTAATTGCATAGGGGAATAGCTATGATAGCTTGTCGGCCTCATTCATATAAGTGTTCCTGCATGTAAGATTGCATGCCCTCAAGCTGAAACGGGCAACATAGACCTCATCAATAATGGTCTAGAAATCAATTGCAATATTTTAATAAGTGATTCTGCCAGACCATTTTGTGTATTAACATGAGCAACTGGGTGCGTTACATTAATTTCAATCAACATGCAATAATCATCAAATGCATTCGATGTATATTCACCAGCATTATCCAGACGTATAGTCTTAATTGGATTATCGGGAAATTGTGCCCGTAATTTAATAATTTGGGCAAACAATCTCGCAAATGCCATATTGCGAGTAGATAATAAACAGACATGGGACCATCTCGTAGATGCATCAATAAGCACCATAAAATATTTAAATGGCCCACACGGTGAGTTTATTGGTCCACATATATCCCCGTGTATTCTTTCCAAAGATGTAGGTGATTCAATACCTATTTTAGCTGGCGATGGTCTAATAATCAATTTTTCCTGAGTGCAGGCAACACAGGTTAACTCATTTGAGTTCAACACTTTTAGACCTTTTAATGAATGGCCATGCGAATTCTCAATTATTCGCCTCATCATTAATCTGTCAAGATGCCCAAGGCGATCATGCCATATTTGAAAATCGGTAGTCTTTTGATCTACCGTAAGGTGTGTTTTAACAACACTTAATCTGGCAGAATATAAACCAGTAGAGAGTGAGGGTAATCTTTCAATGATGCATTTCTTTTTATCAATGATATTGGTGATCAATAAAAATTCACCATCGGTATCACTCATAGTTTCAATGTGATAACCATTTCTCCGAATGTCTTGAAAGCTCAGTAAATTTTTTCGAGCTTTAGTGGCCAACAGTGCATACTGTATCACAATTTTCGTCCCCGCGGGGAAAAGTATAATGGCTTCTCCAGAGCCTTCAATTAATTTTGCACTGCCACTTATTATATTGACATTCATCTTTTTCCTTTTCAAATGAGAGAAATATTTTTTATGTTTTGATATAGTATGTGTCATTGCACTGTCAATGAAACACATATTTGCATCATTTTGATTGACATCCATTTAACCAAAAATAGGCAAAAGTCTTCGTGTTGATAACGTGTTATGTAATAATAATATAATATAATGGTGAGTGTGTGTATATATATATGTATAATAGGTGGTGGATTGTATAACAATATATATATATGTGTAGTGATGATAGTAGTGTATGAAGTGACGCATGTTTGTGAGTATATATGTGTATGGATGTAAATAAATTGAGAGATAGCAGAGAATGAAGTTTGGGTGGAATGAGATCAATTATGTCTGTGTGGATATATTTAATATTATATGTAATTATATAATATATAGTATATTTAATGAACAGAGATACCAACGAGAAAGACTGAGGGAAAGAGAGAATATTGTAGTGCATTTAATTCTAGTATTTTACACCATTTATATAGAAACTTGAAAACTAATTAAATGGCTACAAAAGTGCCAACAAAGCATTACGATATACTATATCAAAGTATCCACATTATGGCACAGGGACTACGTCGTTATTATATATATAACAAAATTAATATTATTTATTTAATATATATCTATATTTATATTTAAATACAACTAAAATATTAAAAAAAAAATCTTAACCAGTCAAATAGAACCGAATACTCAAATTAATAAATAAATTAATTAATTAACAAATCAAATTCAAATAAAAATAATGCTTAGCTCAAATAAAAATTTCAATTTTGTAGCCATTAACAAACAAAAAAAATAGTCCAAACTTGAATCCTTAATGGATTGAGCTTAAACATGAAATGAAATGTATATCACAGCTCTACTCTGAGCCCACAAGCAGAGTTAGAGAGAGAGAGAGAGAGAGTCAAATTCATTTGTGTTAAGTGATAGAGAGAATCATCCATCCACCCAATAACCAACCACCCAACCTATACCTATGGCCTCCTCTCTCATGGCTGCCCAAGCCGCCGTCTTTCTCCGCGGCCGTCCCCCCGCCTTCGCCCCTCCCATCACCTCCTCCTCCGCTGCTCCTCTCTCACTCCCCCCCTCATCCACTCCCCGCCTTACCCTCAAACCCCGAATTTCGAGGATTTCAGCGTCCCTCTCGCCGGTGGTCATGACCAAATCGGAGAACAATAATCCAAACCAAGCGCCGCCGGATATACTCTCGGGAGGGTCAACGCGGACGGTGACTACCATATTCGCCCTAGCTCTCTCCCTCGCGAGATTCGTGACGCACAGGGCCATAACCCTGACCGTGCAATTGAAGGAACCTCTGCTCAAGTCCGCCGGGCCAGCGTTCTTCGCGGCGATGAGAGACGTACCTTCGGGGTCGCTCAACACGCCGTTCACAGTGGTGGCGGCGGGGATGGCCAAGTGGCTGGACTTGTACAGCGGGGTTTTGATGGTTAGGGTTTTGCTGAGTTGGTTTCCGAACATACCTTGGGATAGGCAGCCGTTGTCAGCGATTAGGGATTTGTGTGATCCGTATTTGAACCTCTTCAGGAACATAATTCCTCCAATTTTCGATACCCTAGATGTCAGCCCTCTCCTCGCATTTGCTGTCTTGGGAACGCTCGCCACCATTCTCAACAACAGCAGGGCCGCCTCTTGAGGCAATCAGTTGGTAGGATGCTTATATTTGTTGAATTATGTGAGGATTCATGATGGATGGCTTGCTTGCTTGTTTTGATCGATCTAGTTTTGCACTAAAGAATTTGTTCTTGGGGTACTTCTGATGAGGGAACTATTTTTTTGTTGACATAGTTACGCTGAATAATATTAATATGAATTTCCACATTGCTTGAAAGTGATGAACCTATGTGGAATTCTTTTACCTTGATTCTTGCTTATATGTATGATATGTATGAGTTTTTTGGTGTTTTTTTTGTTTGGTTTGGTCACGGATGTTGATCTGTGGCGTGGTATTAGTTATGACGCTTAGTTTACTGCCTTGTGTAAAAATGCAGTGCCTTGGTTTGATGTTTCCATGGCTGGATATTTGAAATTTTGGGGAGTGTTTGGTTTGTTTTGGGATGAATGCTTTGAATGAAAAATAGACAATGTGATGTTTTGAATAGAAAATAGATTTTGGAGGGTGATGTTTAAATGAAAATTGACATTAGATGTAATGCTTTCTTTATTGGAAAAATATCTTACTAGAGAATACAGGGTACAAATACAAGGTTGAAGGTACAAACAAACAGAGGATTTGTTTACAAATTGTGTTTGTGTTTTGGTTTCAGTTTTTGGGTAAAATAATTGTGGGATGTAATATTTTGTATGGAAAATTGTTATATTTGTGGAAAATGAAGCTGAAAAAAATAACTAAAAGTAAACAAGGAAGGCCATACAAACACACTCCAATAGGTTCAGATGTGATGCATCATCATTTTGTGGTGTGATATCAATTTGATGCTTGAGTTGTGTGTGGTATGTGGAAATTCATTTCATTTGGGCCAATGCTTTAGTTTTGTTGTTGTTGGGTTGTGAAAATGTGATTTAAAGTAAAGGGGTGTGGATTTTTGGTTATTCATCATCAGATCAGATGGGTGTGTTTGTTTGGGACATTAGATTTTAAATACATTATTCCTCTTATTTTTTTTTCTAAAAAATATTAAATCAAACGTCTATTTTTTATATTATACTAAAAATCAATTTTACATTTAAAATATTACATCAATACCTATTTATATCATATCATATAACTATTCAAATTCAAAATTTTTACTATTCAAATCTCAACTTAGAATCCGAACCCCCCCAACAAACACACCAACTAAGTTCGTTTTTGTTTCTTTTGTCTTACATGTTTCTTCTTGAAACTTGGTAGCAGCCTTGTATTGTGTTGTGAGTTTGCTTTTGTTAGTGCGTCTCAGGTTCAAATTCTCTGATTCTTTTTCATGTTTGTCATCCAACTCTATGTAATGAATGGTTGTCAGTCTTAAGTTAGTTAGTTAAGGTGTAGTTAGGGATGTCAACGGCACGGGTTCTGCAGGCCCCGAGACCCGCCCCGCTAGAAAATATTAGGCTCCGAGACCCGCCCCGTTTCCACCCGGCCCCAGGACTCGCCCCGCTCCGAACCCTCCTAACCCGGCTAACCCGTTTTTTTAAAAAATATATAATAATAAATATTTTTTTAACAATCAAATACTAAAACAAATAACATTAAAAGCACAAAAAAAAATTTAAAAACAATCAAATATGATCCATAAAAATAAGATAAATAAATAAATAATATATTTTTATTATATAAATATACATATATTAGGTATAATAATTTTAAAAAAATTATTTGGAGCATGCTACTAATTGAATTTTATATTTAAAATTATTTAAGTAAATAAATAATATATTTTTATTATATAAATGTACATATATATTAGTTATAATAATTTGAAAAAATATCCGAGTTCGAATCCGGGTCCGAGTTAGAACGAGTTTTTAGTAAAATCCGTAATCTGTACCAAACCCGGCGGGGTTAAAATTTTTAATCCATAACCTGCCCTGAAACATATTATGTAGATCCAAATCTGCCCCATTAAGAGCGGATTCGGGGCGGATCCGGGCTAACCCGCCTCATTTGACATCCCTAGGTGTAGTATGTGAAGAAATTTGGTTTAGTATATCGACTATGGTGTAGTAGTGGATCGGATCTGTCATGTCATCACTTGTGAGACTCAGACATAAAACAGGTGGAGTGGAATGGGATGGATGGATGCTACTTTTGCCTTCTTCTGTGTTTTTCTTTTTTCTTTTTTTTCCTCTTTCTTTTTTTTTTTTTTTTTAAATAATACTCCTGTCGGGAGAAAATTTTGTAAGATTGTTTGGATATAAAAATTGAAAATTAATACTACCTTTGAATATTAATTATTACACCAAATAAAAGTACTTCATTAGTGTCTTATAATATTAATAGAACGATATTTGAACAAAAAATTATATTTTTAATGTTAAATATAATAATGCAAAACGAATGTGATCTTAAAAGGAGGATGAATAGAGTAATATTTTTAATATTAAGCAAAATTGTTGTTATTTGTTAAAGTAGAGTTAATAAAATTTTCGGTGGATAATGTTTTTTATTCTAAATGAATTAAACATAAGCTTAATGGATGACAAGTAGTGATATAATTTTAGTGGTCGAAAGTCTATATTTATATGACCACTTGTGAGAAAATAGAGTTTAAAAAAATGATAAGAGCAAAGATTTTGGGTTTTGGATCTTATACATTATCTTTTATCAAATTTTTAATAAAGTAAATTTAGTGTTTTTTATATATTAACATAAAATTCAGCTACTTTTAGAGCATTTTTTATAGTTATTACATCTTTTATTATTTCTTTTATCTCTCTCATCAACGTCATATTCATTTTAATATTCAAATTATTTCGTTCATTCTTGTAGTAAATCACTTTCAACTCATTACATTTACTATTTTATAAATACACAATAATTTATTTATTTATGTATACTTTTATTATGTAATAATACATATAATCAATATATAAATAAATTATTTATCTATACATATTTCTATATATTTTTATTATCTAATAATATTTTTATATAATAATAGTTTAATTTTTAAATGTTAACCTATATAAATTTTAATAATTGAATATATATGGAATAAATCATCATATATATTAACTAAAAATAACATTAAAATAATCATAATAATTAATAATATAACTTAAGAATTATTATTTTTATTTCCAAATCGTATCCAAATAATATATGCATAGAGAACAACAAATAAATTTAAAATATGATAGATAAAGTGTGAGAATTGATTAATGAATTTTAAATATATATATATATAAAATTTATGTTAAATTTATAATTTAAATTTTTAAAATTTCAAAATATTTTGGATAGTATTTAATTTAATTGATTTTTTTTAAGGTAATTCGTTCTTGGGAAATGTAATAAATTTGAATAATTGTATATCGTCTTAAAGGTAATGAGTTTTGTCATAGTGAAAACTAAAAAGACAATCATAAAGGTAATGAAAAAGGTGATTGTATCGGATGCTCTTAGGGTGATATTGTAAACATATCAGCACCATCCGTTAAAATTTTAACGGTTGAATTAATGGATAATTAAATGAGGCCAAAAATATAAATTTAGTTGTTTTTTTTTTTAATAATTATAATTTCAGTAAGTATCTTACTTTAGGCAAGATTTAACTTTCATATTAATTAAAAATTCAGATTGGATTCTATGCTGAACACAATAACTCAGCATGACTGAATTAACTTAGCACCGTTGATTAACAATAAATGTTTGAATTGACTAAATTATCCTTCTCTAATCAATGGTTATATTAATTCATCACATGCTGAATTAATTTAACAAATCATCATGTAATCCAAAACCTTAAAAATTAGTAGGTAACTCGTGCTATGTACGGGTATTTTATATACTAAATTATAGGATGGAAAAATACTGCAAATTTGGTATATCCTCTACATCATATGTAATATATATATATTGTATTTTAAGTATACTAAAAATTTTGGTATGATATGATAGCGTAACATTGATTTCGGTATGATTATAGTATAAAATTTTGCATATCATAATTTATTGTAACCATACCCAAGTTCACTATACATTATGATTCTAATATATATCAATATCAAAATACATAACATAATAAATTAACTATATATCAAAATTAAACAAAAAATATTATTGTTGGAACTAAATAATGAATTTTTTGCGAGTCTCCAACGTAAATATTTTTGGAAGGGCTCCGAGCCTTTTCTGAATATGATGCGCCCAAAGATTAAGCGTTGTGAATCCCGGCAGCACTCCAAAGAGTATGTCCGTCGTCGGATTGAGGGGCGGCTTTAGCAGTAGAGCCTGCACGGCTTGGAGTTTCAACGGCATAACATATGCTGGAAATTTAAATTAACATAAATTATGATGGGATTGATAAAAGAAAATATAAATTATGACATAATTGGATAAAACTTCTAATCTCTATGGAATAAACTACTTTGAATGAATGAAATGATAAACTTTGGCCTGGATAAAATATGTGTTCTTGTCGTGTGTTTTGTATATGTTTTAATTATGTTTAATAATCAACGAACCACCAATTCTTATAATCTAGGAGATAGTTGTTTATTCCTTCGTACTACTTCCTCTTCACTACCCCACCTCATGTTTATTTTCTTTTATTTTTTATAGTAGTAGTTGAGCTTTAACTATACAACCTGTTTTTGGCCCTATTGTTGGGCGGCTCCATGGCTTAGGGCTCTGTCTATGCCTTTGTCTTCGAGCTTACTCTCATGGAGCTTCATCTTCTGGAGCCCGCTTCTCTTGAAGCCCGATCTTCCGAAGCTTTGTTGTCCGGTGAGTAGAGAGGCTACGGCGGATTAGGAAGCTCTGACTTTGAAAGGTTTTGGAAGGCTTTGAAGCGGCTCGGGGGAATGAGATACTTCACTGTCAAGGACTTTGATCTTCTACGGGTCATGAAGCCTCTTCATCCTATTTTAGCTTCTGATTAAGCCTTCTTCATGTTTATGTATTTTTGACCAATATTAAAAACAAATATTAAAAAGTAATTTAATTTAAAAATATAAAATATTATACACACAATAAATAAAATATATAGTAATAAAAATTAGATAAAAAATATTCTCTTCATCCTCTTTTAGCTTCTTATTAAGCCTTCTTCATGTTTATGTATTTTTGACCAATATTAAAAACAAATATTAAAAAGTAATTTAATTTAAAAATATAAAATATTATACACACAATAAATAAAATATATAGTAATAAAAATTAGATAAAAAATATTTTTATACTAAATCTCGAAAGTTTAAGAAATGAAAAAATAAAAACATATTGGTACATGAGTTATAACTATCGAGGTTTTTAAAAAATATGAGCACATTCTTCATCTCAATTTACTTTTATAATGTGATATACAGAAGAAACATCATTCGGCCTTGCAAATGTTGGAGGCACCGAAACGATGAATGTAAAAGCACGATCAAGAAAAGCACTAAAATACTTTTTTAGCATTTTTTTTCCATTTATCTGAACTTGCTACCGTCATGAATCTCTTTTTCACTCACGCGCCTTCACTCACAATGCACATTCTGCCACCACCTATCGTCTTTTCCATACACAAATTCTCACACACTAAGCACTTTTTCATTGCCATCTCCACTTCACTCATACACTACTCATTGCACTCGAACACTTTATTCAGGCGGTTACTTGAGTCGTTTTAACTCTATTGTCGCCTTATTCGCTCTATTGCTTGCCTTTGCACCAGCATTCCTTCAACTCACTTTGCTTCTTCTTAGCTCACAATTGTTGTTTTATGTTTTCTTTCATTCTATTCTTTTTTGGCAAGTTACTCTACTTCATATTGATATTTGAGATGCTACTCATCACTGAAATATATGTAATAAATGAACAACACTGATGAACAACTCAATTTTCTCAAACAATATCAAAAACAGGTGTGTTGGTTATTTTAATAGCCATTTGTTGATAGGGTGTGTTTGTTTGGGAGTTTGGATTTTGAATTGGGATTTGAATAGTAAAAATTTTGAATTTGAATAGTTATATGATATGATATAAATAGGTGTTGATGTGATGTTTTGAATGTGAAATTGATTTTTAGTATAATATAAATAATAAAAATAGGTTTTTAATTTGATATGTTTTGGAAAAAGAAAAAATGGATGAATAGTGTATTTGGGGGAGAATCCCCCAAACAAACACACCCTTAGTTTGTGAACTCAGAGATTGTGAATGTGTTCATTTGAATTATGTGTTGTTCAGAGATTTTATGTGTTGATATATTGTTTAAATATTGTGTGATCTGTGACGAACGAACTCTTTACTTCTTCTATCTCATGTATACCAGTAGTTGAAATTAAGATTGAATCAAGTGTAGTCTTTGCTTACTCGTACTTTGAAGTTATTGTGGTTGTTTTTATCTTTTGAATAATTTTTTTTTTTTTGGTTGCTTGTAAGGCTTTACTCTAGAATTGAAGACTTGCATAGCTTTTGGTTTGTCTTATTCTTCCCTATAATAGTACTTTTTGTGTTGTGTGGTTTTTTTTCTAAATAATTAATTTATCGTTATTTATTTATTTATTTTATTTTTTATAATTCTTTAATAAATTTATTATAATAACCCAATTGTAGTTTTTAATTACCACACTTTAATACTAAAGGTATTTATTTATTTTATTTTTTATAATTCTTTAATAAATTTATTATAATAACCCAATTGTAGTTTTTAATTACCACACTTTAATACTAAAGGTAAATGGATCATACGAATGAAATTTAAAATTAAACATATGTGATGAATGCTTATAAATGTAATGTTTTAATTTAATCTATTAATAATATAATGATTTAAATAATTTTGTAGGCATCAGTATACATGTTGAATTTAAAAATTCACCATTTAAATTCAACATATAATTTATGCTGAATATTGAAATATCATTATTTTTACTCTCTATTTCCACTCAAATCCGTATATTTTTATGAGTAAAAATTATTTTTGGTCTAATTCAATATCATAATTATCAATTTTGATCTCATTCAAAAACAATTATCAATTTTGATCCCACTCAAATAAAAATTTATCAATTTTAGTCCCAAAATGGTTTATTGGGCTTGAACACGGCCGTGCTGGATGACTCAGAAGGTGACTGGGCGTCCAGGCAGCCAACATGGTCGTGTTGGTTACCCTGCACTTCTGAACACGGTCGTGTTCCTGTCCGTGTTACTGCCGTATTCTGAACACAACCATGTTCCTACTCATGTTCTCCATATTCTAGTCCATGTTCCTGCCATGTTCTCAACACAACCATGTTCTAGACCATGTTCACAACCATGTTTTCAATATAATCATATTGTAGGTCATATTTATTATTATTTTCACTTTTTGGTTAAAATTATTTGATATATATTTATAATTCAACAAAAATATTTTTTACAATTATTTCATAATATAAAAATAATTATTTTTTAATATTTTAAAAATATATAAAAATAATAATATAGTAATATATATCTTTTAATAATACTCTCTCCGTTCCACTTACCATGTCCATATTGCCGTTTATGTTCGTCCCGCATCTTATGTCATTTTTCTTTTTTGGAAAATAATTACACACTATTTTTAAATTTAATTTTTTTTAATTTTAATTAAACTAATGAGTTTATCTTAATCTTAATTTATACTTATTTATATTATATGATAATTATTTTTATTAATATATTCTTAATTATCTATTAATTATATTTATCATAAATTCTCGTGTCTACAGTGACCTAGACATCCAACGTGAGGACGGAGGGAGTATAATTTTAAAATATTATTTTAAATAATAAATTCAATTTATATTTTATAGAAATAATTAATTTAAAATAATATTTTAAAATTTTTACAATAAATTTTTAAAATAGATATAATGATTATTAAAAATATATATTAATATATTATTATTTTTATATATTATAAAATAATTGTAAAAAATATTTTTGTGTAATTATAAATATATATATCAAATAATTTTAACTAAAAAATGAAAATAATAATAAATATGACCTACAATATGATTATATTGAAAATATGGTCGTGAACATGACCTAGAACATAGCTGTTTTGAGAACATGGAACATGGCTGTGTTGAGAACATGGGCAGGAACATGGTTGTGTTCAGAATACGAGCAGGAACACAGCCGGGTTCAGAAGTGCAGGGTAACCAACACGGCCGTGTTGGCTACCTGGGATGCCCAGTTCACCTTCTGAGTCATCCAACACGGCCATGTTAAGTCCCAATCAACCATCTTGGGACTAAAATTGATAAATTTTTATTTGAGTGGGACCAAAATTGATAATTTTTTTTTAATGGAACCAAAATCGATAATTATGATATTGAATGAGACAAAAAATGATTTTTACTCTAATTTTATAGAGAATATGCAAGTGTTGTACAATTGCATTTAATATAAATTCAGTGTGTTTGTTGTGTGAGATTGTTGAAAAAAAAAATTAATATAAAATATAGATGAATGTGTAGAAAATATAAAAATAATAAATATGAATAATATATATATTTTTTTAAGAGAATGTGAAAAAAATAAATGAAAGAAAACTTCTGCATATAATCTTTTTCTTCGTTAAAAATTATACATAAAGAAAATCATATTTCTATTATAAGAATGACATGCATTGAATAAAAATAAAAATTACACAATTTTAATATATTCTTTTAATTTTTAAGAAGAAATAAAAAAACATTATCGAATATTCTTTCCCCAATCATATTTATGTAATTCCATTAAAGTTCTTATAAAATTTCCTTTTTTAAATCACATACTAGATGACTTGTATTGTATAAAAAAAGTACTGTAAAATTTATAATATAATTGTTTATTTAAAAAAGAAATAAATTATATAATTTCAATAACTTATTTCCTTAATTTTGTCTAAAAAATTAAAAAATATATTCATCTTCAAAGGTCATCCACACATTAGAAGCATTATTTCAAATCCTCGTTAATTTTGAACGATTGGAATATTTCAAGCTATTTTTTTCGGTATATTTAATTAAAATTAATTTTTTAAAAAATAATATTTTTATTAAAAAAGATATAAGTAATTGGGGGCTATTTTTAAAAATTTAATTAAAAATAAAAGTAAATAAAAATAGATGATGTAATAAGTAGTATTCGTGGTAAATAAGTATCGCATAAAATATAATAATTAAATTTTGATTTATGAACTTTGCCTAAACTAATAATATGATAAATTTAGAAAATGAACTAAAAGAAGTAAGAATAAATTTTTTTTAAAAAATAAAAATAAAATTGACAGATTTAAAAAATGAACTAAAAGAAGTAAGAATAAATTAAAAAATAAAAATAAAAATAAATTTGACGAACAGTATCAAAATTTAAGATTGAGAGAGTGAGAGACCAAAATGATACCTAGCCCAGAGTTTTGATACATTTTCAGGCCCATCAAAATATACAGATTGGGACAACTAAAATAAAAAAATAAAAAATAAAAAAAAAAAAACACACGCCTTGCCTTATACATAATTTATAGAAATAATAATAAAATTAATAAAAAATAAAAAAATTAAGGCTTCTGGATCCTTCTGCAGAGGACTGGAACAACTGGTGTGACAGATTGGCTAATGGCTATAAAAAGTGGCGATCCTCACACGCTTTGCCTTGTCTCTTCGCTCGCAGGCGTATACAGCGTCGAACCTGCGAATCCTTGGCTTCTCCAATTCCCAGCGTTTACTTGCGAGCTGCTGCATTCTCTATTGTGAGAGGTAATCAATCTCGATTACTTTCGCCTTTTTGGTTGTTTCGGAGGCTTTTTTATTGGATTTTATGGTTGTTTTGGTGTTGATATGATCTGTAGGGTGAATTTGTCCTGCTCAGGTACACTGTATAGCCAATTTGGTGTCTTAGACCATTGTTTGGTTGTTCCAAGTATCGAGAATGACTCATATCCTTCCGATATGTTCTTTTCTCCTTCGAGTTTAAAATCACCTTATGCGTATATATCTGTCTGTATGAGGATATTCTTCATTTCATTTCAAGTTGTTTGACATTAATACGCTTTCTTCATGGTCTCGATCTCCAGCGCAATAGCTAAATAGCTTGGTCCTCTGCTGGTTGTTTGGTTCAATAAAATAGTAAATCGAATTCAGCTTCAAATCGATAGCTTTCTGCTTTTTATGTAAGACTTGAGATTTTGTTGAGATTTTTGCCTTGACTGAAGCGAACGTGGCAATCAAAGGGAGCGGGATCGGGAGAGGGCTCAAGCAAGGGCCGGCCACAAGGGCAAGGGTCCAAGGGATGATGGCTTGACCCCCGAACAGAGACGCCAGAGGTTTCTTTCAAACATTTTGCTGCATACCTCATCCTCATCCTCATCCTTGTAGTTCCAATTCCAGTTCAATGCCATCAAATCGTCCTCTAGTTTTCTTAAATTGTTTTGTTTTGTTTGAACAGGGATGCTAAGGCATTGCAAGAAAAATTATCAAGGAAAGCAACTCAGGATGCTGCTGGAGCTGGGAAAGCCAACAATAATAATAAGAACGCCGACAAAAAGTAAAGCACGGACGGACGATCTGATCAAATCAAGGTCCATTTTATTTTTCTAGAGATTGTGTATGTGTAATTGTGTATCATCAAATTGTTGATTCTGCTGTTGTGATTGACAAACCTTGTTTATGTTAAGAGCTTTATTCAAGTCACATTTATTTGTTAAGTTGTCCAACGCCAAGTTTGTGAGCATCATCAAACCAGAAAGAACAAGATAGCTTTGTTTAGGGGTGAAATGCTACCTGCTAATTATCCATCATTATCATAAAATATTTTTATCATTTTTGATCTCATTATATTGCACTTTCCATTAACCACTACTTGTATCCTTTCTAAATTCAAAAGGATTTCTGTCTAATATTGTCATATGCAGTAATCTCTCCAATGTAGCTACATTGAGTATACCCACCACCCGTTCGACGAAATGCCATCTAAATAAATTTGGTCTTAGTGCAAATTTCTTGTGAGTTAAGGCTTTGTTCTTCTTGAATTTTTTCCTCTCCTATTTTCCCAAAAATAATTAATATACTATACCTTCACTATTTTTATGTTCTCTACCTCATTTCCTATACCTTACATAATTTTTTTTTTTTTTTTCAATTTTCTTACAAAACAAACACAATTGTTTTGGATAAATTATATTACATTTTATTGTATTTTAGTAAAATTCTAAGCAAAATTACCGGAACTGATATTTGGTTAGATTAATATATTCAATAGTAATTTTTTAATATAATAAATAAATTAATGATCAATTAATTTTCAATTTTATAATTTTTTTGAGATAAATTGTTATTTTACAAAGATTATAAAAATAAGTATTGATCATTTGTTTATTTTATTCCAAAAATACTATTTGAAATATTTTATCTCTTTTATTATATAAAATTTGTATAATTTAAATTTATATTTACAATGGTGCATGAATATCAAAATATACAAGTATTGATGTTTACTTTATATTTATATTTATTTTTTATTTTTTGATTCTTTTGAAAGGACTTTGGAGACAGGATGTTGATGAGATAAGTTTGAAGTTGACACTTTCATTGGAAGGCAATTGTTGTTTTCTAGATGATCTTTTTTTTTTTCTTTAGAGTATTGAACATGAGAATAAAATTATGGAACTCATGGTGTTATCATGTCTTTAATATTTTCTTTTTATTATTTTGTTTGTAAAATCTTTATTGATTTAGAAATGGAAATACAAATACTGACACACTTGTTGAATCATTTTGTTTTGAATTATATTATTTATTGATTTTGTGCTTTTAATTTTTTCTATAAGACTATGAAAAAAACAAATAATTAATGATAGAGCTCCAACTTAGTTTTTTGAGACAGGTTGTAGTTAACATATTTTGGATGAAAAAATTGTCAAGCATTGTATTGACATATTCACAATAATATGTAGATGCACTCTATTTGTCTCTTAAAGATATGTTTAATATGCAGATATATTCTATTTATCTCTTAAAAATATGTTTAAATTTTCAGACATGAATTTTAATTTGTTGAAAAAATGATGATAAATTGGAGGAGGTGACGAAAACTACAGTGGTGGCAGAGATCCCTCACCTCAGCTTAGCCTTCTTCCTTGCCGATTTCGGAAAATTTTCATAAATATTTGGGAGGTAAAAATATATATGGCGTTTGAGTTAGCAAATGTAATTGTGTACTGGGTGGGAAGTTAAGGAAGAAACAAATAAAAAATCAGTGGAGGAGATGGCGAAAATTACCGTGATTGAAGATTTTGCTCGTCACTCCATTCTATTCTTAGCAGCAATTTTGGAGAAGAGAAGAAAATTTGAAAGAAAAATTCGAAGAGGAAAAAAAAATAAGAAAAAATAAGTAATTTTAAAGAAAATGAAGATTTGAGAGATTAAAAACATAAACGATGGTGTGATGCACAAAATTAAATATCACTACTCTAAATGCACACCTGGTGCTCTGGTGGTGGACTTGTGACTTTGAAGTTATAGGTCCAAAATCCAATGTTTGATGGAACTTGTCTTGTCGAATTTATTTTGCAAATGTGACATGAAAAAACAAAAATTGGAGGAGGGTGATTGTATTGTCGTATTACTTTTGAAAATTGGCTAAAATTGCACAAAATTTATAGGAAAGGAATGAATTAATTGTGCATCAATCTATTTTACTTCCCATATTATTTTTTATATGTATTTATGATGTAGTAACATAATTCATGGTGTAGAGTAACTTAATCTTAACTATGTAATTAACATAGTGTTGATCATCCTCCTTATAAATATTTGTGTTATGTAGATGAATAAAATTACCAATACCTTGATTGCCTTCCATAGTATCAGAGCCACATAAAGCCTAACAAGCTATACAAATATTGAATTCATGGTCTCTTTATAAAATTCTTCTGCCAGCAGTTTTCGCTCAAACTCAATGAGACAAAATTTTCCTCTTGGCTATTACAAATTCAGACCCTCTTATTTGGACTTGATCTCCTTGGTCATATCGATGGCACAATTTAGCCCCCTCCAAAGATGATTTCGACCAACGAAAGTGATGGTAAGGAAGTCCTAGATTCAGAACACTCAACATGGGCAAGGCAGGATAAATTGATTATTCATGCTATATTATCATCCTCAAGTCCATCTATTGTACCCTTAATTGTGAGGGCATAAACAGCCTTTACAGCTATGGAAACACTCACTAAGGTTTTCTCCAGTCAAACAAGGTTGAGATTACGGCGCTAAGAAAAAAGCTAGCAACAACATTGCAGGATAATATAAAGGTAACTTAATATCTCCATTTGATGAAATCTATCATGGATGATCTTGCTCTTGCTCAAAACCCAATTGCTGAAGGCGAACTCGTAGTCGCTATCTAACGGGCTTAAATTCAGAATTTGACACTATTGCAACAACCCTAAAGGCAAGAGAAACTGAAGTGTCATACTCAATTTTTTGAAAAGCTTGTCGATATCAAAACACCATTCGAAAATAGTAGCACAAAGCGTACTTTTCAAATCTGGTTTGAGCAAATGGAAGGCAGGGGTAGCAACATTATCCTATTGAAAATCAGCCTCAAAGAAATTCTTACCGTGGAGGAAACAATAGAGGTAGAGAAGGTTATCATAGCGGTAGACATGGCAACAATCATGGTAGTGGTTTGAAAAATAAAAACAGGCCAGTTTGTCAGCTCTGCGAAAAGCCCAGGGTACTTAAAAATGTTTTGTATATCCCTAAAATCCAAAATAACCTAATATCAGTTTCTCAGTTACCAAGCAAAATAATGTGTCCGTTGAATTCTTACCTGAACATTTTCTTGTGAAGGACCTGAGCACGGGCGCTACTAATGCATGGACACAACAAAAGTGATCTTTACACGAAGTTCTGAGACAAAGTCGATGTTTAAATTGGTGCCCTAAGTTAGTTATTTCAAATTGTTTGGTAGAAAATAAATTGTGGCATAGACGTCTAGGCCATCCTGCCACTAAGACTTTGAATTCTATGTTAAAGTCACTTTGATTTAAGTAATAAAATTCTTAACTCCAACCAAGAATGTAATGTTTGTCAATGTTCAAAGAGTCATAAATTGTCCTTTAGCATTTCATCTTTCAAAAGCACAAAACCACCTCGAAATTGTGTTTTAGTGATGTGACACTCCGGCTCGCAAGCCACGCAAAGCCGAGAATGTTAGAGTTGCAGACTGGTCCCACAGGTCAACACGAATCTTTTCAGAAAGCTTTTGTCCTCACTCACGCGCACCCTGGGAGACTTCTCACGGGATCACCCATCCTCAAATTATTCTAGCGCAAGCACACTTAACTATAAAGTTATTTTACCCGAAAAGGAATTTGCACATTATTGACGTGAGTAGTCTATTCAATTCATTTAACCTATATTCAACCTTAGATGGCCTGGCACCGGCTCATCCACGGGAGTTGGCCTAGCACCGGCGCAGCTCCAGGAGTATTACATCCCCCTCCATTTAAGAATTCAACGTCCACGTTGTATCCCAAAGATCATCAACTGCTAGGCCTATCACCAGTCCGGTCAACGACTATGAGCTGTCGCAGGTCAGCTCTGATACCAATTGTAACACCCCCGGCCCGCAAGCCATGCAAAGCCAAATATGACGGGATTGTAGACTGGCCCCACAGGTCAACACAAGTCCTTCCAACACACTTTTGTTCTCACTCACACGCACCTTGGGAGACTTCCCAATGGGTCACTAATTCTCAAATTACTTTAGGGCAAGCACGCTTAACTCTAGAGTTCTTTCAATAAGGTTCCTGAAAAGGAATTTTCACATTGTTGACATGAGTAGTCTATTCAATCCAATTAACCTATATTCAACTTTGGATGGTCTGGCACCGGCTTATCCACGGGAGTTGGCTTAGCACCGGCGCAACTCCGGGGGCATTACAGGGGAAGCCCTAATATTATGTCGTATTTGTTGTCACTTTAGTCGGTTCTCCTGAATATATCCGATGCGTTTTAAATCTGATGTCAAAGAATTTTCCATCAGATTTAAGAACAATATGAAAAAGTTGTTGGGTGAAAAGGTTACTCAATTTGTTTCTGACAATAGGGGTGAGTATCAATCCTTTGAGACATTTTTTGCTCAAAATGGTATCTCCCACACAAAAACACCACCGCATACTCCCGAGTACAATGGTGTCTCTGCAAGGAAGCATCGGCACATTGTTGAAACATGTCTTACATTGTTAAAAAATGCTAACTTACCTGGTAGCTATTGGACTTATGCCTTTAAAACAGGAGTGTACCTCATAAACCGAATGATTTTAAAAATTTTAGGACAAAAATCCCCCAATGAAATCCTCTTTAAACAAAAACCGAATTATCACAAACTCGAGGTGTTTGAATGTTTATGTTACCCATGGTTAAAACCATAAAATCCAGGAAAGTTACAATCCAAGTCTGCCCCTTGCATATTTTTAGGCTATGGTGATAGTGAAAGTGCATTTATAGAGGCATGTCAAATTTTTTTTGAAAATACATTTCCTTGTGCAAATAATTTGGATAGAGACATTGATCGAAGTGCAAGTAAAGATTACAAGGTTGTCTCCAACAGTAGTGACGTCTCACCGCTCGGCCTCGACACAGGTATCATTTCTTATTCTATTCTTCCTACCAACAACACAATACACTACACTCCCACGGA